TGAAGGGGATTCCATGCTTTACTCAGGAAATCTTCTCACACTGCTTCAGGATTTTCATCATTAAAATATTTTTCCTAATATCCAAATCTCCTTTGTGTCAGTAAATGTACTGTTTCTTGTCCTGTAGTAGACTGAGCTACAGTCTATTATAGACAGAACCAAAACCTCTATTCCTTTCATCTGTGAGGTTGTTTTTTCTATAGTATTCTTGCTAACACTAGCGCTGAACGCATTGCTTTGTTCAAGCACTGCAATAACACACAAATCTTTGAGCATCTGACAATAAACTTCATCACATGGACAGTTTGGTGTGACCTGAGGGCAAGAGCTGAATATGAAGATTCAGCAGCTATTACACAGGCACATGTCCAAACACAAAGATGAGGAAACCTTGAGAAAGGTAATTAGTCACCAGAAGGCCTGGAGGTACTGCAGGAAACTGGGCTGATGAGTGCCCAGGTGCCAGGGGCAGCAGCTTCTTCATGTGCCTTTAAAGGTGGCTGCTGTCTCCCTCACTGAGTATTTCCTGGTCACTGACCTGCATCAGGAACAATGAAAAATAGCAAATGTCATGTATCTCCCAGGCTTTTATCACATTCAGAGTGTATAACTGCAGCTTCCACAAGCAATATCACAACTAGCCATGAGCTTAAGTAATTCAGAAGATAAATATTTCAAGAAAGATTCCTCACCAGCTGTGGCCATAACTGCTTGGTGGGAAGGCACAGCCAGCCCTGCCCTGGAGGGCTCAGGGGCAGCAGTGGCATCTCACCCACCCCTCTGCCTGAGCACAGGGACTCTGCTGCTCAGCCACGCATGCTCAGCTGGAGCTGCATGCCCAGGACCACCAAGAGCTCCTGAGCCCTCAGCAATGAGGCCTCTGCAAGGGCACAAAGCACCCAGCACAACCTTGAGGAGCACCAGTGAGACAAGTCCAACAACAGCTGTCTTTTCTGGCAGTTTATTATGCACAAACAAATGAACACACAAAGCTGTTAATGATCCTTCCAGAATCATACTGTGAGTCTGTTACAACAAGAAGAATCCATGAGGAGACATCCTCTCGGTCCAAGTGAAGTGGTTTCTGCCTCTAATACCCTGTGACGCTAAATAATCTCATGAAAAAAAAGGAAACTACGATGGTAATTTGTGGAATATGTTACTATTTAATTCCTGCCATCATGAGAACTATGTAAGACAGTAAAATACCATAAGGTAAAAGAAAAAACCCTAAAGCAGTAAAACTGAGTCACTCTGGCACTTGAACCACAAACAAAAAAAGATTATGATTATGGTACCAACCCACAAAAAGTACTCATTAGAAAGTCATCCCCACTTCCCAGTCACCACTGCTCCTCTCCTGTTAATACAGTGGAAGGTGATGGTAATGCACAGATTTGGGCTGCCTAACATTTTGCTACTGAAGGTGCTTCCATGTACTAAACCAATGCTAAAGAAGTTTCTTAGTGCAGCAGAACAAATAAGGTTCTAATGAAGTGCAGAAGAGGATCTAATGAGAAAGCCTGAGTCAGAAGCTCATATATTTCTAATAAAGTGGAAGATGGCATGAACTTCTCAACATTACTTCTCCAAACCAGCATAAGACAGAAGAAATCAGCTCCTACTATAGAGGTCAGGTCAGACAGAAGCTGCCACAATGTTTGCTTCACATCAGACTCAGCAACAAATTTCCTTCACTGCTGAAAAAAAGTCTCCTCTGGCAGAAGGTGATAAGGATTCAACCCTTCTGTCCATGCAGGTGGAGTTAAAACACACACAATCCTCTTTGGTCTTTTCCTTTTCAAGAAGACTCCCAACTGCTCCCAAAGAACATCCATTAAATAAAAGAACTTCCCATACACACTGGAAGAGGTGTCTGACCAGCATATTGCTATCCAGAAAATCATAAGGAACAGATTCCCAGTGAGTTCCAAGTGAGAAGAGATAACAGCAAATCCACATTCTTCTTCAAGAGGACTAAAGAAAACAATGTGGTGCAAAAGTAAATGTTTTATCAAAAAAACAATGTTACACTGCTGAGCTTGTTGGTTTGTATGTAATTCCTCTTATTTAATGCTACATAATGCAAATAAACACCCCTTATACAGATGATGTCTTGGGTGGCAAGCCTGTAGTTAACACAACTTTTTAAAGAAATCCTTTATCATTTTCAAAAAATATACTGTAAGTGTGATATGCAGAATTTTTATATTTTACATTATCTAAATAGCTCAAGATACTTACTGAAGCATTAGGAAGAGGAGAAAAAAAACCCAAAAAGAGGCAAGAAGAAAAATTTGCATTCCTAATAGATTCTGAAAAGAAAGAGTGACAGTAACTTATGCTAAATACATAATATCACAAACTACCAATAAGGAAACAGACCTTTCCCCCTGGTCTGTCTGTAAGCCAGATGGAGAAGAGGCAGCAACAAGGGAGTGATGAACCAGCAATTCAGCAAAAGCCAGGCATGAACAGTAACCTCACTCGAGGAACACCTGTTGGGGCAAAATTCAAGGCATTTCCACTCATCCATTTAGGAATTTATCCACTTGTCACATATCCATTTTCAAAGACCCTATAAAGGGTTCCATTAGCACCTGAAGAGCTCTTGTTTCACACCGGATAAAAGCACAGGAGAGATATTATCTAAGATTGTGAAAACATCCAAGAAAAAGGAAAGACACTAAAATTATGAACAACTCCAAGAAAAGAAGAAGAAGGACAAGGAGGCATAGGCACCCAGCTCTCTGGATTTCAACTCTGTTCACTGGCGACAGCCAGGAGCGTCCCTGTGGCTGCAGCATCAAAGGCGGGGAGCGCAGGCTGCTGCCCGGGCTGAGAGCGCATCGCTGGTCGCGGGTCTGTGTTCCAGGGCACGGGCAGAGCCACATCTCGGTGACATCTGCTGTCACCAGGGACGCGCTGACCGAGCCCAGCCTCCAGGTTCTAAGCTGTGTCAGTAACGAAGCCCTTATAACCAAGTTGCTAAGTTTCTGTGCCACTGAAGCAGCGTGAGGAGCTCTGCGGTGCTGCCGAGTACACCTGACAGGCTCACCCTCAAACTTTGCAGATTTTAGAGAGATTGGAGTTTGTTTACGGGGGCGCCAGAGCGAGCACAATGCCCATGCCGACATCCGAGCTCTCTGCTCGCGAGGGTCCCGCTCCAGCTAGCGGCGGCCGAGCACGTTCGGGGCACACAAGCCCCGCTCCGGAGCCAGGCCCGGGCCCTCCGCCGCTCCGCACCCCGCAGGAGCCGGCCGGGACTGCGGCAGGACCCC